AGAAGCATTATCCAAATATACAGCAACAAATAATGGGTTATTTGCCGGGGGCTAGAACAAACCCATCTAGACCCTTTTGTCACACGGGGGTTGACTTTACAGGATTTGTCGAAGTCAAGGCTAATAAGGGTCGAGGCATTAAAACAACGGAAGGATATGTAGCGATTTTCGTTTGCATGGTGACAAAAGCTATGCACCTAAAGCACGTCGAGGAACACCCCGTCACATATACAGTGATAACGGAACAATCTTCGTCGGAGTAAACAAGATGTTGAAAAGAGAGTTTTTTAACTTAAAATCCATTATCTCCGACGTATTCCTGTCAGAAATAAGTGAAATGAAAACTGACTGGCATTTCAACGCCCCGTCATGGTCAAGCGCCGGAGGGTTGTGGGAATGTGCCGACAAGAGTTTGAAACATCATTTATGTAGAGTAGTGGGAGAGCAAAAATTGACCTTCGAAGAGGATGCAACTTTATTGTCTCAACTCGAAGGTTGTCTTAACCCACGCGCACTATGTGCAATTAGTGAAGATCCAAATGATATTAATTATTTAACCCCATTCCATTTCTTATCAAGCGGTCCCATCCTTACAATATATGACACTGAAATAGACTCTCTAACGAAAGAGAATAAACGCAAAAGATTTTCCAAGATATGTATATGGACTAGATAGAGAGTTGAATATTAATGCCAACTTTCAGCACGAACAAAATGGCAACTCAAGCAACATAATATCAAACTTGATGATATTGTTTTAATCCATGATGCCAACTTACCACCTGGAAAATGGGCACTTGGACGTGTAGTCGACGTACAATCGTGGCCAAGCGTGCCTGTCCACCTTAAGGTCATGTTTCCCGTGCGCTCACTTTGTATAGTTTGTACGGGGCGGAGTTTGACTTTTTTTATTTGGCATTCATGAATGGGCAACGATAGTTGGATGTGATGAATGAATAGTGCATATAATTTAACTTAGTTTTATATTTGTTTAGGATTTAGACAATGGACGATTCATTATTATGTGTTATTTAGTCCTCGTATAAGTTTAAAGTCAAAACCAGTTCCTGTGATAAGCGCGTTCAACCAAACAAACAAGAAAAATCTTAAGCGTCTGAATATTATCAGTATAGATTGATTATAATAAACATATATAAAACACCATTTTTAATTTACAATAATAATAAAGAAAGAAAGAAAAATAGTTTCATATTAATTATAGTTAACAAAACTGTCAATTATAATAATGAAAGTTGTAGCTTCTCTACAATAAATTATAGATTATTGATTTTTATAATATACTGCAATATTAATTGTATCTCATTCGTAAGTAAAAAATGACAATTTACAAATAAGACATTATGTGTAAGTTAATCTACCACTTTTACCATCGTACAAACAATACAAGTTCTTGAGCTACAGTTATAAAGTTCAATTTTCTTCATTCTGTTTCTGCATTATTGCATTGTTGCCAAGCCGCTACAAGTATATTTGTAACGGCTTGACAACAATGCAATTGCTTAACATCTAATATTTTGTATCTTTAAGTAATTTGTCGGATAGTATCTTTACTACAACTAACCTAAATATTTTAAATTCACGCAATCATAGTTGTATTAAAAAGAAGAAATGTCATTCTTCCTGAAATAAGATTAATCTGTTTTTTGATTTTTAATAATTGATATAATATAGGTAATGCAATATTATTACACTAGATATTTTAATTACAAAATCATTAGGTATATGCGTATAATAAATTAAATAAATTTATTTCATGATCAAATTCTCGAAATTTAGAGTAAAAGTATATCTGTAAGAAACAATTTGTTAAGTTTCCAAGTTAATTTTATAAAACATGAGCCAATTTACTTGTGATATAAAATAGAAATAGATAGAAGTATATTTTATTTAAGACTAGTTTTCCGCTACCGGCTTCGCCCGCGTGGTCCCTAGGGAACTATTTAGTAGGATAAAAGTATCCTATTATCTAAGTCAGCTAATACCCTACCTGTATACCAAATTTCATCAAAATCTGTTCAGTAGTTTCACCGTGATCGACGGACAAACAAACAAACTTTCACATTTATAATATTAGTGTAATAAATAATGATCTAATATTTCAAACCGAAAGTTATTAATTTCATTTGATTTATTTGTTATAATTGGCAAATACATATTTTTTTTAATTATAACAACTTTAATTGAGCAAGGATCTTATGACAAAAAAGAATGTAAAAACTTAAAAAAAATGAACCGACATCAAATTTAAAAAAGTGAAAATTAACACTTATCTTAAAAACGGTTAATTTTTAAAGAAACATTAAAGTCGGGCGGTTAATATTTAATTAACTACAGAAAACCTCAGACCGCTTGAAGTCAGTTCCATTTTTTTTAAATTAAAAGCTTTCTTTTTTGTTCTGTTTCATGCATTCACATCACGCATACTTAATGCAAATTTAAGACTTAATACGGTTTTCTCATAGATGCCATTGCCAGATCTGGACCACATGGCAAGCACTAGCTTTCAAATAATTATCATCAAAATCGGTCCACCAGTCAAAAGTTATGAGGTAATAAACAAGAAAAAAAAGTACAGTTAAATTGAGAACCTCCTTCTTTTTTGAAGTTGGTTAAAAATATGATAACAGGACCAACTTTCATAAAATACAAATCATTTCTCTCTTTCATCAATGTTAATTATTTTTTTAGTTAGCAGGTGTTCAAATTTTAGCTGTTATCCTAATTATATAAATATCAATTTCATGATACCAACAATTTGAAAACACAAACAAAGAAATATTTGTTTAACACAATTAGTAATTAATTAGTGATAATTTTTTTTCGTTATCGTTCCAGTATTTAGATGTTATCATATTTATAACATTAACTACTATCTTTACTACAACTAACCTAAATTCTTTAAATTTAGACAATGATAGTTTATAAAAAATAGAAATGCCATTCTTCCTGAAATAAGATTAATCTACTTTTTAATTTTTAATAATTGATATAATATAGGTAATGCAATATTATTACACCAAATATTTTAATGAAAAAAGTATTACATGCATATAATAATTTAAATAAATTTATTTCATGATCGAATTCTCGAAATTTAGAGTAAAAGTATTTCTTTAAGCTGTTTCGATGGATTGTCTGAACATTGATGAAAATACCATCACTAGTAGCGAAAGTATAAGTACTTAAGAAATTCGATAGATTCGTCTAGGACAAAAGGAAGGTCTAGGACAGCTCAAATAATTAAAAATTAATTTAATATTTTAATGCGGCACCATTGGCACCTATTACTGCGTCCAGTCTCGATCGCATCGAGAGTACCAAGTTTTGACAAAAGTCAGAACCCCGTAGCGACTCCCAAACTGTTTCACAATGAGTGATGAGTGCCTCCCTCATCCTCTCGTTTCTATTGTCCCACCTTTGACCATTACTCCCCAATAAAATAGTGTGTGAAAAATCAAAGTCTCAGTACTCTCGTGCAAATCGGACTCTATCAATTTTGTTTTGTTCGTTCATTATTATTTTTTTGCGGGTCTTCTGCGATGAACTCCTGCTCTATGGAGGGTTCTCCGTATAGTACGGACGAAGCAGTCAAACTCTTCAGCGAATGTTCGCGTTGGAGTAAAAGACGCAGTCGCGTAAACATTAACCATTCGCTGAGACTGCTCCGCCGATATTAAATAGGAATGTTCGGGTTGTCTTGATCGGGCGTCCACGTGTCCTTCTTCTTCAAAACGATTGACCCAGAGGCGCACAGTAGGTCGCTGTAACAAAATTATTTATTAAAATAAAACTTCAATCTATAATATTTTACTTTTGAACGTATTTAAGGGCGTGTATTTATGTAGACGTTATATACTTATAAAAAATTCATAGTCATAACTGAGTTAACGAAAAATAAGTAAATTAGAGTATAAAATAAATGAAATGAACATTGCACATATAAACGCATTTTATCCGGCAAAAGTAGTTTTATTTAGTTTCACATTATATTAGTAAATCTTTTTTGTTGTCGCTGAAACAATGTTATCCAATTAATTATGTATCAGTCAATAAGTAAAGCTTGTTACTACTACTTTACTTTACTATTCTATTAGATGCCTCTTCTGCTATTAGAACGTAATAAAAAATCATAAATAAAAAAATCACACTATTTATATATTTTCACATTAACTTTAATTCGTTATTTTAATAAATTTATTTCATTGCTTATTTAGCAGGCGCATCTGAAAATAACGCAGATGCAGGGCCTAATATATTAAAATATTTAAACATCAATTTATCAATTAGATTATAAAGATCAATTAATTTCACAGTAAAATACAAAAATAAAAATATTATAATGAATTCTTAATATTCAAACCATATCTTAATATTGAAAATATTATATAAAAAATCATCAAAAATTTCTGCTTACCTAAAAAATTAAATTAATGAACGTAATAAATTGCATTTGATCTTTTTTTATCAACTTATTTGGTAGGTGATTCTTATAATTAATTATACTTATAACCAAAAATGGTTTAAAATCAACTGAGTTAACATATTATTTTGTTTGAAAGAACTATCGTTCCAGTTCAACAAATTCATACATTTTTTAAGAATAAATGTTACTTTTATTTTTACGATGTTGCCAAGTTTCTATAGCCAGTGTCAGAACAGTAATAACGAAATTCGACCTTACGACTGATATCCATGAACTAATATTGTTTGTATGCCAGTAAAAGAGATAGCTAACAAGGAGCGCGCCTTTGATTTTCGCCTCGTCTTTGTCGGCAACCACAAGAGTTTTTATGTTTGATTTTTTTTCACACGGCACGGCACCAGCGTTCTAGAAACGAAGCGGTCTGGCAACATCTTGAATTTTGAGTGAACTTTGATTGCTTTTACAATTTTATTATTGATTCTTTTTGTGAAATAGGAATCTTTGATCACATGACACTAAGAAATTACTTAAAAACAAAACGAAATTAAAATGAGAAATGAGTAGTGTAGAGAATGATATTAGAGGTAGTTATAACAGTATTGGCATAATAATCGTAAGCTAATATAAATATTTAATCATCGAGGAACTCATCAAACTACTTACCACCTCTTTATGAGAGAGATGTAGAGGAAAAACGTAATTCCATGAATTTTTAAGGAAAGTAAAAATTCCATTTGATCTGATATAATGTTATAATCCCTACTAAAATTATAAATGCAAAAGTAACTCTGTCTGTTTGTTATGCTTTCACGTCTAAACCACCGAACTTATTTTCATAAAATTTGGTACAGAGTTAACTTTGAGAAAGAAGGCTACTTTTTATCACGAAAAAAGGGGTTCCTGGAGACTACGCGGGTTAAGCCGCTGGTGGAAAGCTAGTATAATTATAAATTGTAAACAATAATAATTTAAATATTTAATTTGTATTGACAGTTTGTATATCTAAATAAGCAGTAAGTATGTTACACTTACCGTCAATCCCAGCTCTCTGGATATTTCGTTAATATTCATTCCTTCTTCACGTAATGCGACGGTACGACTCCTCTCTTGTATAGAGAGGTTCCTCGAAGACATGGTCCAAATTCAAGCCAAGGTCACGTGAAGCAAATCAAAAGTCCAGTTTCTAACACGGTGGTCAGGTATTAACAGGTATCAGTCCAATGAGAATGCGGAGGTTAAAAGAAAATCCATAGTGAGCACGTCAACAATTAGCAATATGCAAAAAGCGACTAAACAAAAAAATAACAACACTGTAATTGCATTCATTGTATTTGTTGCATACGTAGAGCCATGCTGATTGGTCATAGTAAAATACTACGACCAATGAAAATGCGCCCGTAACTCCGCCCCCTAAAATTGCATCAAGTGTGTGCCAAGCGAACGAGATTTTGAAGTGGATAGGCACGTGAGACCGCCACTGTACATCCAGGGAAAGATAGCCACGCCCTATCATTAATGTAGGATCTGCATTTTTTTTTATTTTAACGATTTTTGTTTTTTTTTTTTTGTATAAAACCTCATAAAAGGGTGTAAGAAATAATATAAAAAAAATAATTGTTGATTTTATTATAATTACGAAGATAGTAGATGGTTATTGGGCATTCTACCCACTTTCGTTCGCTCGGGCTTGCGCCCTCACTCCTCGTGGGGTGAAATGCCCAATAACCATCTCGGATATTTGTTACCTCGTTTTTTCATTCCACTTCAATTATCTAATAAATAAGAAACCAAATCTACCACCAGTTCGTAAATTGAGAGACCCTTTGACAGAGAAGAACTGGCCAAAGAAACTCTGAAAGGTTAAGAAATCTCTCCCTAACATTAAAATCGTATAATTAGCGATCTAAAATCACGCACCGATCGCCTCCTAAACTGTTCAGTTGGAAGCACCGTGGTAAGTCACTCCCTGCGAGCCCGTGATAAGATCACGCACTGAACAGATTCCTAACTAGTGTTGGCTGAGAGAACCATGGTAAGTATCTCCCTGCGAGCCCATGGTAAGATCACGCACCAAACATCACCTAAACTGTTCAGTTGGAAGCACCGTGGTAAGTCACTCCCTGCGAGCCCGTGATAAGATCACGCACTGAACAGATTCCTAACTAGTGTTGGCTGAGAGAACCATGGTAAGTATCTCCCTGCGAGCCCATGGTAAGATCACGCACCAAACATCACCTAAACTGTTCAGTTGGAAGCACCGTGGTAAGTCACTCCCTGCGAGCCCGTGATAAGATCACGCACTGAACAGATTCCTAACTAGTGTTGGCTGAGAGAACCATGGTAAGTATCTCCCTGCGAGCCCATGGTAAGATCACGCACCAAACATCGCCTAAACTGTTCAGTTGGAAGCACCGTGGTAAGTCACTCCCTGCGAGCCCGTGATAAGATCACGCACTGAACAGATTCCTAACTAGTGTTGGCTGAGAGAACCATGGTAAGTATCTCCCTGCGAGCCCATGGTAAGATCACGCACCAAACATCGCCTAAACTGTTCAGTTGGAAGCACCGTGGTAAGTCACTCCCTGCGAGCCCGTGGTAAGATCACGCACTGAACAGATTCCTAACTTGTGTTGGCTGAGAGAACCATGGTAAGTATCTCCCTGCGAGCCCATGGTAAGATCACGCACCAAACATTGCCTAAACTGTTCAGTTGGAAGCACCGTGGTAAGTCACTCCCTGCGAGCCCGTGGTAAGATCACGCACTGAACAGATTCCTAACTAGTGTTGGCTGAGAGAACCATGGTAAGTATCTCCCTGCGAGCCCATGGTAAGATCACGCACCAAACATCGCCTAAACTGTTCAGTTGGAAGCACCGTGGTAAGTCACTCCCTGCGAGCCCGTGGTAAGATCACGCACTGAACAGATTCCTAACTTGTGTTGGCTGAGAGAACCATGGTAAGTATCTCCCTGCGAGCCCATGGTAAGATCACGCACCAAACATTGCCTAAACTGTTCAGTTGGAAGCACCGTGGTAAGTCACTCCCTGCGAGCCCGTGGTAAGATCACGCACTGAACAGACTCCTAATTACCTAACAAATAAAATGCTTTTGGGATTCTCTGAATCTTACTTTAGATTTATTTATTTATACTTACGTTACCATTACCTTCTTGAAACATTACTACAATACCTTTACCGATTTATATTTATACTTACGTTACCATTACCTTCTTGAAACGTTACCACAACTTCTTTACCTTCATGATAAAAAGTAATCCCAAACTCGATGTAATCTCGTATGAGAATACTTTAATTATCAATTACCTCTTAATATCTATAGGAGAATGGGATGGGGTTTTTAATTTTATTTCAATGTCTACATATATAAAGAAAAATGTATTAGATTTCTTCAGAGATTGATCTTCGATGTCATCATGCAATGCACAGCTACCTCATGTCTGGTTTTCTGAAATAAATAACAAAAAATAATTATATTACGTAATAATACGTATTATATAATACAATTAATAACACTCTAATAAAATTAATGACCTTGCTCCTACATAAAGAAAAATCCATAAGGGGTTATTTTTTGCGACCATGCGTGATGTAGTAATTCATTAAAAATGTTGAATAATCTTTGATAAAAGATATAATTAAAATGAATAACAGTATTTCTCTACATTAAAGAATATTATCTGTTTTCATGAAAAACAAAAAAATACTATATTTTACTAATCTTGGAGAAAAATGCATAAAAATACATTTAACTTTCAAATCTAATATTTTTCTTGTTTTACTGATGTCAATTATCATAGACATTAATTATAATTTGTGTGAACTATGATTTTGATAATAAGTCTTACTTTATAAAATCAGGCTGACATGGATTTTTAAACTAAATTAAAATCATGTACTCACAAAGACATTGTATTGGCTTCACAATACGTAAGTACATATAGTTTGTGAATTATTAAAAATGTATAATTTTGGAGAATTTACCCTTTATAATTTTTCTATAAAACGGTATATGAAAATTTAATTTATAATTAAAAATCGAATTTTGGATTTGCTTTCTGTCACCTTCGTCATTTCAGATAATACACAATACGAAGGCTTTAACTCTTATCTTAGAATCTAAGCAATGTATTTGATTTTGCCTAATATATTTTTATATATTTTACTTGAATCTAAATTAAGTATTTTATAACATATTAGTAATTTATTTAGAAACATAATCATTACTTACTTGATCTTCTTTTTTCAATAGTTTTAGACCACTTAGTGATGATTTTTTGAATTCACAAGTAAAATTTTTATATTTACTAAACAGTTAAAGTTAGCTATTGTCGCTCGAGTGTCTTTGCAAATGAAGTAATACGTGGGAATCACTGTGGGAATAGAAACACGAACCCGATGGAGTTCGGTTGCACTTACGATAGTCCTAGAGCAACACATCAAAGTGCGCTTTAATACCGGCTTAGTATTTTATCTACATTAGAGTTACAGTTTATTATCAAATAATGTCAATCATTTAATTAGTACAGTAACTTATTTATTTGAAATAGTAAAAAATAATATTAAATGTTGTATGAATACTATATTTAGTTATTTAATTTCAATATAAGTATTCACATGTCACCTCGACTAATTGTATGAATTACTTTATTTCTAATTATTATCAATTTTAAAAATAGTTCCGGAAATATTATTTTGTGTACTCCAGTATCACATTTTACATGAAATATTTAATCCAGCTCTAAGACTTTAAAAGAGATGCACAGAATTTATCGATTCTTCTGAAAATGGATTAACTCGAGATGTATCGATTCATATCATTATGAATATGATTTTGGTTGATCAACGAAGCTTATATACGTAAAATATTATTCATTTATTAATTGCTAAAGTAATATAGAGATGAAAATAACAATTATCTACATATAAATAAAATAAATTGTAGGTACATTATAAGTATATATACCTAAACTAGTGATAACATTATTTTGTAAAATTATTCTACCTTTAATGGAATTTGCAATTAAATTGTTAGTACAAAGTAGCAGCTCTCTACTGCATACTCATTCAATGATATTGATTGCTAAAATTTAGACAATTCTCTAGTAGCACATCGATTATGATTTATGTAACTACTTATTATAACTCGAACATCTCTACGGATACAAATAGCAAATGCAGCAAATTTGCAAGTAGCGGTAAATAAATTAAGTTACAAAGCAATATCGTTAAATATCATCAACATTATGTGCTCACATGCAGAATGTCCTATGTCATATTAATCAACAAGGGATCATTTTATTGTGTTCTAGTTGTTAAGGTTAAAAATTAAATGGAAGAAAATTCTAACATTCTAATTTTTATTATATTATTATTTCGTTTGACAAACCGACATGTTTACGCTAAAAATATAATAATTTAACCTTGGTTCGCTTGTATGATTTAAGTTCAACATTTAATTGAACATTATATATGATTATCAATAGACTAAATCAATATAGGTATTTACGATTGCAGTAGTAAGTAAAACAGATGAGTTAGAAGTTCTATAAAATTTCAATATTTTATTTTTAATCATCATTACAATCAATTAAACTTAATAAATATGTTGTTGCAATAAAGCATTCGCGCTTGACCAGTTAGGTGTTTATTTTGATGACAACAACGATTTTCTTGCATAAAAACTCGGTGATCAAAGAAAATTATTCATTTTCTGAAATTTATAGATTGGTAATCTACCTATCTGCATTGGTCAACTTAATATATAAATTATATATATATATATATATATATATATATATTTTTTAAAGTGACGCAAATACAAAGTATAGAAAATGTACGTAAGTAAAATTTATTTCTTTACAAGGCTTTCAACTGTATCTCCAATGTTTTTAGAGTGATATTTAAATAAGTGTTATTCCAACAGGTCTGACTCTGAGTTTGAAGCGTCTGTTATCTCCGAAGTTCCAATTAAAAAAAAGAAGACATCGTCTGCTGGTGTTGCGACAGGCAAGCGCAAAACCATAGGTACAACAGTTGCCACTGTTGACACCAAGAAATATCGCTCCAAACAAGCCCCATATGAATTTTCTCCACCTCACAAGTAAGTTATTTACCTATCATTGAATATTACTTTGTCAGTACTTGCATTATGTTAACCAGACATTTATCGATCTAAATATAACATACTCCTTATTAAACTAAATTTTAAAGATATAGTGTTATAATAATAGATTTTTTTTTTACAGTACATATACATAGTTTTTTGATCTCATTGTGTTTTTATTATAATGTTATGTACGGTCATTTAATTAATTTAATAAAATGTTTGTTTCTACTTTGCAGAGTGAACAAGAAACGGGACTTGTTCAATATATTGCAGTCGGAAGAGATAGCTAGCGGCCGACCGAGGAGTGGTGGAATCGTGACGTCCAGTTTCGCCAGCCGTGTATCAACGGGTACAAGTCGTCGCACCGCAGCTACTACAGGCGAGTTTTTTGTAGACCTTAAAGTCTACAAAACAGGAGACTACACTTCCAATCCCGTCGATGTGCGCTACAAGACAGCATTAGTAACAGTTAAGTTACAGTGTGAAGACTCGTCACCATCGTGGGACGCTCTTCAAACCTTCCTAGGACAAGCTTGGACGGTATTTGAAGACTCAGAACCTATACATTATTCAGATAAAATTAATTTTAAGTAAATTGGGTACCAAATAATTGTTTATTTCATTAAACAATCAATTTATGTAAGTGCTTTCTATTTTTATTCCATTATTTAATGACATTCGTTTTTTATCGTAGCAATTTATTACTATAAGATGCCTTTCTGTGCAACGTGTAACACAGCTGTTCTTAATAAATCATGGGTGGGTCATTTGAGAAGTAATTTGCATAAGCAAAATAGTCGCTCAATGAAACATAGCGAAGGTGTAGAAATCATAACATCTGCATTTCGTAATCGTATAATAACATATAGAATAGTTGCTATAAATGATTTTCAGTCGGGTTCTGTAGATGGATTTTTTTATGAGATTCGTGATAAGTTAAAAATGATTTTAGATCAATTTCTCAAATCGCATACATGTGTTAAAGTAAATTTAGAACTATTCGCAACGTTTTTAAAATTTAAAGATAATTCTCAAGAAATTAAATCTTTTGGAACAAAAAACAAAATATTATATTCTAATTATGAATTTAACAATTTTTACATTGAAGTAGTAAATTACCTCAAAAAATGTATTGAGGAATTCGAGGATCGCGATAGTGGGTGGACATTTTTGAACAATTTGCATATGGAGGTCAATCTCAATAAATATCAACCACTTGGTGGCTCAAGCTTTATACCGTTACCTAAATCGATTCAATTAAAAAAGTCATGTTTGAATATAGTTAATAAAGACCAGTGCTGTTTCTTATGGTGTGTGACCGCTGCCCTTTATCCCGCGAAATATCATCCTGAAAGAGTTTCGTCATATCCTCATTATAAAGAACTGTTCGATGTTAGTGGAATGCGTTTTCCTGTTTCTTTACATGATATAAAACTCTTTGAAAATAATAACCCAAATATAAAATTTGTACTATATGGTTTAAAAAATAACAAATCTATTATAGGGCCTTTATACAAATCAGATATGGATAAAAAACATAATAACAAAATTATACACTTGCTTTTGCTTGAAAATAATAATAATACTCATTATTGTTTGATTAAAGACTGTTCTAGACTTTTCAGAAGTCAAGTTACTTCTCATCATGGGAAGTTGTATTTTTGTGATTTGTGTCTCGTATTTTTTAATACCGCAGTGGAAGTTGATAGCCATTTGTGTAGCGGTGTAGTAACTAAATTACCTGATAAGGGATCGGTAATTAAATTTAAAAATTATAATCACAAACAAAACGTACCATTTTGCATCTATGCCGATTTTGAATCGATGTTAGAAAGTAATTCTGGTAGTAGTTGTTCAAAAAGTCAGAACACCACCATTTTGCATCATCATGTGCCTATCGCTTTTGCTTATTATATTGTTTGTCGTGATGACCCGAGTCATAATCATTTTGTGTCACATCGTGGGCCTGATTGTGTTGACAAATTTGTTAATTTAATAATGAAAGACGTGCAAAACATTTATGAAAAATTGAATTTTAATACGCGCATGATATTTACCGAGGAAGATAGAATTGATTTTATAAACGTTAAAGTCTGTCATATCTGTCGAAATTTCCTTTTTTCAGATAGAGTGCGTGATCACTGTCACGTGACAGGCCGGTACCGCGGGGCAGCGCATTCTTATTGTAACTTACAATTTAAACGACCTTCATTCGTTCCTATATTTTTCCATAATTTAGCTGGATATGATTGCCATTTGTTTATAAAAGCTTTGGGGGAGGTGCCTGGTGACATAAAAATAATTCCTAAAACAAAAGAAAACTATATTTCTTTTACAAAATTCGTACCAGTATCTAATAAAAAGTTTTTTCAACTTCGTTTTGTTGATTCGTTTAAGTTCTTAGGGACCAGTCTAAATAAATTAGTTAATACTTTAAAACCTGAAGAATTTAAACATTTAAAAAGTTTTTATCCGAGTGATCATAAATTTAAATTACTTACTCGCAAGGGTATATATCCTTATGAATATATGAACTCATGGGAACGCTATCAAGAACAATCCCTTCCAAAAAAGGAATGTTTTTATAGTTCACTCACTGATGAAGTCATTTCTGTTGAAGATTATCAACATGCGCAATTAATTTGGTCAATATTTGAAATACAAGATTTAGGATGTTATACTGATTTGTATTTGAAAACCGATGTCCTTTTATTAGCAGACATTTTCGAAAATTTTAGACGCACTTGTAAACAACATTATCAGCTAGATCCTGCCTTTTATTTAACTGCACCTAGTTTGTCGTTTGACGCGATGTTATTGAAAACCGGGGTACAACTCGAACTTATTAATGATCTATCTATGGTGCGAATGTTGCAAAGCGGTATTAGAGGTGGTGTGTGCTTATGCTCTCATAGATATGCTAAAGCAAACAATAAATATTTAACAGATTACGATTTGTCTAAACCAAGTTCTTATATAACTTATATTGATTGCAATAATCTTTATGGCCATAGTATGTGTCAATATTTACCTTTATCAAATTTTAGATTTTTAGAAAAACATGAAATAGAAATCCTCGATGTGACTAAAATTCCAACAGATTCACAATATGGTTTCATATTAGAAGTGGACTTGGAATATCCAAAAAAGTTACATCACTTGCATAATGATTTACCTTTTTGTCCAGAAAAATGTATTCCTCCTGGAGGGAAAAATAGTAAACTAGTTCCAAATTTGTATGATAAATTCACTTACGTTATACATTACGTGTATTTAAAAACTTGTATAAAACATGGGTTAATATTAAAAAAAATTCACCGAGTCATTACTTTTAAACAAAGCCCATATTTGAAACAGTATATTGATTTGAATACAGCTTTACGACAAAAGAGTACATCAGTATTTGAACAAGATTTCTTCAAACTTTTAAATAATAGTGTGTTTGGAAAAACATTAGAAAATAATGAAAATCGAGTTAAGGTTGATCTAGTCAATCGATGGTATGATAAAAACAATATCACTAAAAGACGAAAAAGTGCTCAGCAGCTCATTGCTCGTCCAAATTTTCATAGTGCAGCAGTATTTAGTGAAAATTTAGTCGCGATTCAATTAAAACCTGATGAAATTATTTTGAACAAACCAATATATATTGGTTTTACTGTTTTGGAGTTATCAAAGAACTACATGTACGATTTCCACTATTCTGTCATTAAGCCTTTTTACAACAATGATGTACAGATGTGTTACACGGACACAGATAGTTTTGTCTATCATGTAAATACCACAGATTTTTATTATGATATAAAAAAATATTTTTTAACATATTTTGATACTAGTAATTTTCCTAAGGTGAATGAATATGGTCTACCAATTCAAAATAAAAAAGTACCTGGTTTATTTAAAGACGAAATGGGGGGCAAAATTATATCAGAATTTGTTGGACTTCGTTCAAAGTTATATTGCATTAAAACTCTAGACACTACAATAAAAAAAGCGAAAGGTGTCAAAAGAAATATTATTAACAAACTGAATATCACAGATTATGAAAATACATTATTTAAAGGTGATACAGTGTGCAAAACAAATATTTTATTTAAATCAATTAAGCACGAAATCTTCACTTGTGCTGTCAATAAAATAGCTCTGTCAGGTGATGATGATAAGAGGTTGATATTGAATGATAAAGTTTCTACTAAGGCATGGGGACATACTAGTATATTTAATTTTTAATTAATTTTGTATAATTAATATAGTAATTTAACTACATAGTGTTAGTTCATTTAAACTGATTATTTGTCATTATGTGTATCAAATAATATTTAGATAATGTTCTTTTAGTTATCGAAAAATGTTAACATTAATAATTAAAAATAATATTAATTTAATTCTGGTTACTATATAATATAATAATAGGCTAAATGGAATACATGTATTGTAATGGAATAAAAATAATAAATAAAATTTCATTTGTTTGTTTTAGCGCTCTTAACAATCCTTTTAAAATCGTTTAAACGTCTACATATGTACTAAAATTATGAATTAACACAAAATCAAGTTCAAACCTGTTATCGAAGTGCAGGTGAATATTAGTAATATGAGATGTCAATGCCATTTTCCATGGTAATGGGTGTGAGTGAAAGAACATGAGACAACAAGCTCAAACTGGAAAGTAAGCAAAAAGACAATACAGTGGATTATAATTTATTATTCATTTACATTTATTGTTTTGCTATCATTAGACTGGGTCACAGCTACAGCTAGTACAATCAAATAGCAATGGTACGTATGTATTTAGTTAATTTCAAATATTTTAATTTAATTTATTATCTTTTTTGATCAAATATACATTTAATTATTTTTTATCTTGTTTCAGAATATAGAACAAGAAAATATCACCACTGTTTCGGACGAAGAGTGTGCTCATTTTGACCCTCACCAATATTTGGATTCATTTCAATGTGCTCAAGATCCCCTAGAAGGGTTTACGGAAGATATTTTAAAAATGCAGAGCTCATCTAAGTCATTAAAAAGGACTCGACACAATCGCAAAATAAAGTGCAAGAGGAGGCAGAGCATTCAATTAGATCAAACAGCAAAGTACTGTGGCCCAGTTTCATTCGTCATCAATAGCGCACCAACAAAAGGACTTCGCCTAATCAGGATACAAGTTATCGAATTGGATCGATTACAACGAATTAGTGATAGTGTAAATGATAACAGTGTTCTGTTAAATTCTCAATATGTAGTGAAGGATGTTGGTGATGAAATAATGGATCAGACTGAGAAAATTATCAATAATATATCAAAAAAAATATGTGGTTATAGTTACACTAATTGTTTTTAGAAGTGTGGTTATGTTAACAAGTAAGTAATATATATATATAATATATTTGTGAAATTTTATTTGATTTTCTAATTAAAACATAGAAACAATAATTAAACATAGACAAGAGTAAATTTACTTTATTAATGTGAATTACATTAAAATTATAGATTTATCTTAAATTTTATTGATTGTATTAATATTTAGACTGATGTGTCTATTTAATTTAATTACAATAAACAGTTATTATGTAAACTTCTATTTTGAAAATGGAGAACCGATATATATAAGTAGATAATTTATTTAGGTAGGTTAAATCTTAAATAGAATAAGTAATTAAATAAAATATCATATAGAATATTATTTGAAATATTTGTAAATTAAAAATATATGAAAAATAAAATTTTATTAAAATTATCATATATTGTTTAATTTTTTCACCCTATACAAAGAGTTCTGAATAAAAAGAAAGAGTAGGTATTTTAATTAAATTTATTTATTAAAAATCTGACACAGAAATATTATTTTCTATAAACCACTTTCTAATACATATAACATTTCTCAATGCACAACATTTCAGATGATTAAAACAATTGTAAGCGAACATATCTTTACAATAGAGTTTACTTAAAGTTTCTAAATTAGGTATACCTTTATCACTTATATCTAAAAGATTTTCATGACCACATATTTCTCGTACCCACTTAACTTTTTCTTCACCTTTTACTATGATTTTATACTTATTTAAATAAGGTTTTATTAGTCTTCTGAATTCTCTATAGTCAATATGACCCTCACTCCATCGGTACCCTCTATTTCTTTCTATCCACCATACATGTTTTCTTTCTTCAAGGGTCAGAGTAGAGTATGGATAAGGTGGCTTTATCAAAAATATTTGAGTATGTTCCGATGTACCTATAGCTAATTCTTTTAATATAAATTCATTTTTTACGCTTTTAAAACCTTGCACATCTACTATAATAATAGAATTCATGATATTTTACGAACTATATTACTAAGAGGTTTATATTCCACTATGCAATCATTTAAAATTAAACAATATGCTGACGTCTGGTCCGGTATCTCCTTATGACTCTCTAACTCTAAGCGAATATTAATAACGGGTCCTGTTTTTATATTATCGTTCTGTCTTGAACAATCGATTACAAATAATGGTGCATATTCTCTAAATTGTTGAGCACTTAATGAACAACTTGATTTACGTGAATAATAAGACTGTTGGAAGTTTACGAATTGTTCATATATTAAAGCATAGTTATGCTTCGCGAAGTCGGTATTATAGCTTTCATATGGATAATAAATAGAATTTAAATAAACCTTTACATCACGGACATTACAATGATCAAATTGGGACATATCTTTTGATCCATTATTTTTTCTGTTAGTTTGCAGGCCAAGAATAACATACCTAGGTTTTTCAATCTGAGTAGAAGTTTTAATTGACCATGTATGTTTAGTAGTCTTTGGTAGCATTGGGTATTCGTAAAGATCCCAGTTCCGAAACGTTAATTGAATTGGTTTATCTTTTTCCAAAATTTTAAGTAAATTGATTTTTTCTCTGTCAGATACTTTGACATGAGGAACACGCCAAATTATTTTATGTATATCAATGCTTTCTATTACTTCATCGTTGTCAAGTTTTAAGGCATTGAGGTTTGTATTGCTTCGTAATAGAACAAGCTCATGTTTACAATTTGCTATGACTTTTTTATAATCTTCAGCAAATCCTAGTACGTTACTTAATGGAATTGATACAGAGAAGTGACCACCGATAGTATTTTTTAAACCCTGTATATTCCAACCCCATACTTCAGATATCTTCGATTCAGTTTCATTCATGGAGAGTAAAGATTTCATAGTCGTTGTTATACCAGCATTTTTGACTTTGTCTATTTCAACACCATTTAATTCATAACGTATGTCTTGAAACAAGTACATTAACGCGTTATTAGTAAATTGAAAAGATGGTACTTTTTCTCTTGTACCCTTGTCTCCAAATTTGATCACATTTACCACTCCTTCAATATACAAGGTGCTTGCACTTGGAAGCACATATAAGTCTTGTTGATTTATCGGTATTCTTATTTCATCATTTCTATTGAAACTTGTTATATATGGTTTATAAGAATGAGTTTCTATGCACTCTATAGAGTTGTCATAAGAAGGCGGATTTGTTATATTTAGAATATTCATTTTAACAATCCGATTAATCTTAAAAATGCCTTATTTTGTGGAGTTAGTTTAATATTAGCACAAGAATGTGTGTTCTTGCGAACGGATCGATTACCACTAAACTTCTGACTATGAGATGAAAAGTTTTTATTGTACTCAATCATGTTTCTTTATGTGTAAGTATAAATTCACTTCTTCCCCTCGATGATCAACAGGATTATTATAAATGTCTAATATTCTTATGGTGATACTATTGATAGTATCTCTGTTTACTGGAAAATATATAGTATTCTTCGGTATTTCTATTATTCTGTAACCCGGAGGTACTGTGGGTGCAAACTCATGTAATATGTGATTTGGTTTTCCGTTTATATAAGACCCGCTTATGATATCACATTCGACTCTCACCACAGTCGTTGATAAAATGTTTACGGGAAGAAGTGAGTCATGTAATATATGACTTTTTAGAACTTCCTTACCATAACCCAACAATTCTCCGAAGGAACCATGTTTTTCAAAATGAATATCTTTAGTACAGAATATAGTTGTCTTAAGTGTATTGTTATTGCAATATAATTTTAAATCACAATCTTTTACTTTAAACTTTAAAAAGTCGTAAAGATCTTGAAGTTCATAAGCTCCTTCAGGAATCTCGACCACTTCATTAGTACCATAGTGAAATTTGTTATTAGCTTTAGTGATATTCGGTATAGAATTAAAAGTAGAGAAATGCAATAATGCACATTCATAATCACCATCGAGATTTAAAGTCGGTGAGTAGTTTGTGGTTAATATGGAACTTTTGCCAGTTATAGACAATGTGAAAGACATCGTGAAAATGTATATAAAAAGATCAAGCCCATCAATATATACTAAATTGATCCCAAAAGTTGTGCAAAAATTTTAAACATAAATGTCCACAATTGACGCTATTATATTTTTGATATTGATTATAATTGTAATAAATATCACGATGACCGAAATATTTCAATAATTCTTTTGGTGGTTTTAAATTACCAAAACTATCAAAATATTCACAATAACTGTTTATTATTGCATACGCTACCCAATGCGTTCCATTATTATTATGATTATCTAAATTAACGATTCCACATTCTATTGGTTTTGACTTATTTGGTAATCTATCTTTCATGTAAACTCCACGAAAATGTGGTATATTTCTAGAATATTTCATTAACTCTATATTAGATAAAGCTTTATTGGGTAGCTGGGAAATTAGTTTTTTGAACTTTTTATAAATAAACCACTGCCTTTTTTATACGGTTTGATGTAAAGACCTTTTCCCAATGCAATTGCTTCCATAGTTTTATTATGACGTTCGGATACTTTTAAATTTTGTTGTGCAGTTTTGTATTCATTTACCGTTTTCGCAACACCTGCCGCACCTCCAGCTAATGCACCTAGAGCAGACAATCCCGCAAAAATGGGTATCAGAGGTAATATTCCTCCTGTCTTTGGAATCGGTATTATTCGCGGTAGACGAAAATGACAATTTTTGGGAAAACATTTTTTAGCAGCTTCATATGCATACTTAATTGCAGCTGTTTGGCTCTTTGGTTTCATTTTTTTTATTTGAGATTGAATTTTCGATACAATGGTCTTGAATTTTTTAACTCCAGAACCTGTTTTTACTTTAGCTTTCATAACCTTACTAACTAACCATGAAGCTAGTTTTTCACCTCTTCCAGCGTCTTTCGAATGCAATCGTCTTTTAGCCATGCTGAGTAGTTCCAAGTCTGCTTTATGTCTACTATTTGAATCGGTGTTTGTGTATGCAATATCATGAAATTTGCAGGCTTCGTCTAATTTATTGACTCCTTTATCACCTCTGGCTAATCTTTGTTTTAACTTTGTCCCTGGTCCACAATAGTTATATCCTGGTAAATGTAGTTCGAACGGTAAACTGTCAATTATACTACGAGGGTCAAACTGAAAGTTCTTAGAACTGGCCACTTATAAACAATATAATAAAAAAATAATTCTAAAATTTGAAAATATAACTCTTTGCCAATATTACTGAGTATATATTTCATTCATTTGTCATTTGTTTTACGATTTGGCGGCAAATTGAAAATTGTCTGTGTCACGTCATCATGAATTTAACACGAGAAAATTTTCGTGCAATGATTTTTTATGACTTTCGATGTCATTTAAGTCAACAAGAAAGTTATGATAGACTACGATTGGCCTTTCACGATGAAGCCCCATCTCGTGCGACTGTTTACAACTGGTTTAATGAGTTTAAACGTGGTCGCACTAATCTCACTGATGATTTACGTGAGGGACGGCCTTCTACGGCGACGACTGAAGATAACATCTGTGTTGTGCGGCGTATGATAGAGACTGACAAAAAAGTGACCTATCAACAGATTCGGACAAGCTTAGGCATCGGTATGAGTCAAGTGCACAAAATCCTCCACGAACATTTAGCGGTCAGGAAGCTTTGCGCCCGGTGGATACCTCATAATTTGACTGAGGCTCAAAAACTCCATCGTGTGGATTGGTGTCGTAAAATGATTGAAAGATTTAACGGAGGTGACTCAAATGCTGTGTTCGACATACTAACAGGTGACGAAAGCTGGATTTACTGTTATGATCCTAAAACCAAAAGACAATCTGCTCAGTGGGTGTTTCCTTTCGAGGAGTTGCCAACTAAAGTGAAGAGAGATCGAAGTGCGGGAAAAAAAATGGTGGCCTCGTTCTTTGGAAGGATAGGTCATTTTGCAACAATTGTGTTAGAGGATCAAAAAACAGTTTCTGCAGAATGGTACACTACCAATTGTTTGCCACTTGTCTTGGAAAAAGTT